TTAATTCACAGTTTAGAGAGGAAGGAGATGCTGTGCCACCTTACTAAGAATATGAAGGGATTTTCACCAGCGGAACTTCACTGCAAAACACATCTTTGCATCTTTGTTTGGTTGATTCCCTCATGAAGGCAGGAACTTGCACTTGAGTACAGTTTGTACAATGATTTAATCATTACTTCTTCCGTTTCATTTTAAAATCAGATACAGTGAGTGTTTCTGAATCAGAAAATTGTGACTTTTTCAGCAGCCTTATTCTTTCAGTGCCTTCTGATGAGCTTCAGAGCTCACTGGGCAGTCACAATTCTGGGAGAGCCGTGTTGATTCCCAGGTATGTGTCTTCTTCTCCTGTACAGGACCAAAATTGTGGCATTCTGCCTCAATGTCTGTGCCATTTAAATCAGAGAGAGGGGGAATGTGGTGTGAGACAGAGCCCCATGCTCCTGCCTGGGCTGTACATGGATATCAGTTTCATGGCAGCTGGCAAAGATGAGGTCATTTCCCATTGACCCTGAGGAATAAAGTAAAATTAAAAAAGCAGTTCTGCACTTTCTGAGGGTGCTGTACTCCAGCTTCTTGCAGGAGGAAAGCAGGAGATGTGGTATTGATTTTTCAGCGTGCAGGTGGCTCAGGCATGTTCTGAGCCCTGTTAGAACGTGAGCAGATGCTTCATAAATGTAATAGAAAGTCAAGGATGCTTCTCTACATCACTGACTTCCCCCAGTGTTTTGGCAAAGATCATCGGCCCAAGCAGATGTGGAAGAAAGAAAGTGAATTATGAAGTATGTCAGCATCATGAATATTTAAAATATGGTCCACTGTGTGGCAGAAGCACAGACACTGAGGCTTCTGCTTAGCTGGATTTAATATCTACCCATGACTTCTTAGCCAGTGGGTGTACAAACACAGTGCCCAATTCCCAGTGGTTAATAAGTGGGGGTTGAATGAAACCATTTAAATGGTGGAGTTTTCATGCTGGGGCTTTGGTCACTACTTTCCCCAATACCCAGTAGGTTCCCATCTCACTGTGGGGTGTCATTTTCCCTCTCCATCAGCATTAGCTGTTTCTGGTGTCTCTTGTCTCCTGTGTTGTTGTGTCCCAGAGGGTGGTTTTTCCAGGATGCTGTAGGACAGCAGGTGAATTCCAAAAGATGAGTGGCTGGCAGGGGTGGGCTGTGCAAGTAGCAGCTTCAACAGCCATCCCTGTTAGGAATGGGAAGTGAAATTGCTGCCAGACCCTCTGGAGATCCTTGGGGTTATGAGGCAAGGTAGGGAGAAGAAGGAAAGGGTTAAATTTCCTCTCCTCTATCCAGCAAGCCTAGATGAGCTGTGGAAGTGCCTGTCCCTTTTCCCTTCTCCTCTGTACTGGAAAGAGAGCTGGAAGCAGCAGAAAATAAGTAGACACCCAGTTTTCAGTCCTATACATGGATTTTGTTATTCTCTTGTATGTCATGAATAAGTGACTTACGCAAGACATTTCACTTGCCAGAGTGTTCTTTGCTGTAGTTCAATGTAATAATCATCACTGTTGCATTATTTTGATGTAATTCTATTGTATTAACTATTTGCTATGCAAGTACCTTACAAAGAGAAAGAAACCCCACGTTTTCTTGAATTTACATCATTTATCCCATCACTACTTTGAAAATTATGTCTTGTTATAAAATGATTTCCACTAACTGGTGTTGCATCACCAGTACCCGTCCATGAATATGCATTCCTGGGAAGGAGAGGGTGACAGAAACAAACACCTACTCTAATGTGTCATTAGAAATCAAACAGACCTAAAACTTGCTTCTGCTTGCCAATGCTCAGATCTTCTAAAAGTCTGTCTCCAGCAGTGAGCCCTAGGATGCATCCAGATTACAGAAGCTGTGCTTGCGTGCAGGCGAAATATCAGTGAGCAATTTGAGATTATAGATTTGCATCATGCTCAAAAAGCTGTTTATTTATGTACAGGATTAAAATCTTCTTTTTCCACCTCTATTTGCTCAAACAGAGTACTTAGATCAGTTCAACAGAGTTGTCCATTCATTTCCACTGGCTGTATCCGTTGTGTGTTACATCCGCCTCTGTATAAACCCGCTCTTTGTTTTGGTTTGAGGTGCTTCCTCAGGCTCTGTCAGGGAACAAGTGGCAATCTATAATATCTTCAAAAGTGGGATGGATAAAATAGCAGTAATCTGATACTGACACATAAAGGTCACCGAAAGGCACTGCTGAAACCCCCCCGAGCAGGATGGGAGTTGCTACCTTCGGAATGGCACAGTGCCTGCAGAGGAGGCTGGCGTTTGTCTTTCAGGACTGAGGGGCTTTTTCTTTTTGAAATACCTTATTTTTGGTAAGTTGAAGTAGTTTCTCTGCTTGGTTGAATGGCAGTGGAAGCTCTGCATAGGTGTTAAGCGTGTTACATGTAGCATCGTGTTAGCAAAATGACCTTTTAAGTTCCCATTTACAGTCAGCACCAGCTTTTATGGTTATTGACAGCACAAGCCTTTGACATCCTGAGCATCATTTCGAGTTTGATATTGTCTTGGTCATTCTATCATTTTCTTTGGACACAATACCAGGGTGTCACGTCCTACATAGTTTGTCTTGTCTTGTGCAAGTTCCCTGGAAAGAAAAGAGATTTGCGCTTGGATTTAAAAAATAAATACAAATCTCAGTAGGGCTCTTTCCATTGACTTGGCCATGGCCTTTAGGCTCTCACAGAGAAACTTTAAAAATCCCTGCTGGGGGTTTAAGCCATGTGACTCCTGTTGATATTATAATGAGATTTACAGTGCTTAAACTCCATGGGGCACTGACTCCTTACTTGGCCATCACAAGTCCCAGTGTGTGGGTAACATGCACTGGGCAGATTCATACACTGCTTTTTTTGTTTGTTTGTTTGCCTTTTTTTTTTTTTTTTCTCCCAAACACACTAAAATCATAATTTTCATATGGACTTCAGTTGAGTGTTAACATGAAAGCCTTCTTTCTCTCCCTTTGCTGTATCCAGGTACAGAAACAGATGATAAACCCCATTATTTTCTGAATTTTCAGATGTATATAGAGGATGTTTGACCATATGCGTGTTCGGCTTGGGTGCATGGTGTTCTTCAACCATTCTGCCTCTTCCTTAGCTGAGAAAATGTGTGGTTTAGGACTTTTTTAATTTCTTTGCAAATAATGCATCAGTTCCTTAGTTCTTTTAAAAACATTACAGAGTATCTCCTCACTTGAGTATTTTTTAAAAGACTGATATAGTTAAACCAGTCTAGAATTTGTATATAGAGAAGGCCTTTGTAAGGCTCTTCACCTACTGTTGGTTTTTTGGGGGGATTTTTTTTTTGGTGGTGGTTTTTTTTTTGTTTGTTTGTTTTGTTTTTTTAGGAAATTACCTTGCACATACATATATTTATGATTGAAAGACTATTTGTAAACAGACAAAAAAGGATATTAATGAAATAATTAATTAGATTCATGTAAAACTCATAATAATCTTTTCTAGTCAGTACTTTTTAAAATTATTTTTTCAATGTAAAATAATTTTTAAAAACACCTTCAGTAATCTTCAGATTCTCATTGTGCTTAAAGTCAAAAGTGGCAGAATCTGGGCAGGAATTTCTCTTCCAACTACTTTGTGTTTGGAATGATGTCTCAGGAGTGTATTTACAGGGATCTGGCTACCCTGTGCATCTGAAATAATACAGGAACACAATTTTGTCAGAGTGCAGAGACAGATAATATTACAGAAGAAGACTAAAACAGCATTTCCAGGTGTGTATAAAAGTAAAATGACAAAAAGTAGGCATTTATCCATAACATTACCTGTAATCCAGGATGAAGTAACTCATAAAAGCCACACCTAGATGCTGGTATGTGTTCATATCCTTTGTGTATGTTTGAAGTCCATAATACAGCACAGACATACTGTAGCAAAAAGATCTGCCATGAAAAATACATACATGTGTGAGCATAAAATAGAGATTTCAATATTATTTTGACATTCTGCTTTTAAAGTCATCTAAGGTTATGGAGATAGTTGCAAAAAATAATTCCTTTCCTTAGGAAGTTTCCATGCAGAAGTCGAATAAAGAAGATATTTTAGAATATGGTTCATCAGTGAGTGCAACAGATACATTTCCCTGAGCACCACATGGCCTGGATCAAAGCGTCTCATGACTTGGATCAGTGCAGCCAAATCATTACGTATTGATTGGAATCCCGCTGAAGGATTAACCCCTTAGTGCTCATATGAATTTTTTGCTTTAACCCTGGGTTCAGTAGTTAGGAGGCTCTGTGACGTTCCTGCCCAATCTTAGGCAAGGTTAATGGCCCCCACTAACCCCTCGTGCTGAGGAACCCTTTGATTGCATGCCCCCTCTTCTTTATGGTGAATTTTGCATTTGAAAATACATCTCAAATCTTCTTTCTTGGGATGTAAGGGGGCCGTATTTCTGCAATGAAACACACTGTAAGAACAAGAGAAAAAAAAAAAAAACAACCAGAAAAAAACCAACCCAGTAAATAAATAACATGGTGGGAAAGCCAAGGCTGCAAATCTGATGCTTTCCCTTTCTGTAGCCATGAGGAGACCCTCAGGTCCGGCTGTGGTATGGTGTAATGGGACACTGCTGTATGGAGATGACTTCTTGATGAAGTTGAATTGTAAATATGCAATGTTCATAAATTTTTTAGCAAAATATCAAGCAGGATATTAAGCAGGTCTGTCAAATGATTTCTCCCCCGTCCTTGTTAATTTAAATTCTTTACAAACCTCTTAATTAATGAATGAAATGTAGGAGGATAGCTAAGTAAGAATGACACATGTTTCACACTGCAAATGGTATTTAATTCTGTTTTGAAAAACCATGGGCAAGAATCAGGCGGGTACCGTGAGATGTTGGGGATGCTTCAGGATCTGGTGTTTGCTGCTCTTTAGGAGTCTTTGTGAGGATGAATTGTTACAGTACCTTCAGCTTACAGCACTTGTTCTCTCTTCTCTTTCTCCCCTCCAGTTTATCCCACGAGGAGCACTCGCACAGCCACCCGCTGTACGGACACGGCGTATGCAAGTGGCCGGGCTGTGAAGCAGTATGTGAAGATTTCCAGTCGTTCCTAAAGTAAGGATGGTTTTTTTGGCACTTGCATTGTACTGAAAGCATGCCCTGAAATTTTGTGTGCTGTCACTCACCCTGGGCCTGATGCAAAGCCCATTGAAGTCAACAGAGAGCTCCCTTTCACTTCAGTGGCTTTTGGATCAGGCTCAAGAACGTTTTAACAGGGGATAGTAAATTAGCCCCATGGGGAAATTACGGTCTTGTTCAGTGTATTGCTATAAAATAGTGTTTGCACTTCCGCAGCTTTTTTATTTTATTTTATTTTATTTAAATAATTTTTAAGTTGCAGTATCGATCATGTAAATAATAAAACCTTGATTTAACCTTGATTTCACTTTAATTTAGAAATCTAGTCTTAAATTAACTCCATAATTGAACAGAGGATTGCAGAACATCACGTGAAATTTAATTTATGTCAAATAAGTAACTAATGAACAAAGTCTACACTACTACAAATAAACTATAATTATATTAATTGGGCCCCTGCAGTTTGCTGCAGACCTTTTCCTTGCTGCCAAAGAACACAGTTTTACACGTTGCATAAACAGTGCATTATGGACTAGTGTGTGGTAGCGTGTGCATCCCAATGCAAGGAAGGACCTCAGAGCCCTAATAGCTTACACATGGCTGCTCCACAACTAAACCATCAACCTCACCCCTGTTCCCATCACAGAAGAGTTCTTTGTCTAGGTAGGACACCAGGTACACACATGCTGTGGGTGCATCCAGGTTGCTGAAGGTTTGTCCCTGATCTTTGCTCGAGTTCTGTGGCTGGTCAGTTGTAGGATCACTAAGACAAGCCTCTCCAGTAATGTTTGTGATTCAAGTGCACAAAGGGACAGACTTTTCTCCCTTTTAGGGTAGTCATCTCATGATGTTAGTCCAGATAAATACTTGAGGTTCTTCAGGATGAATAAGTAGACTTACTCCCAAAAGGTTCAGGTGTACCTGCTGTTTCTGGGGCGATTCCCTGGATTTTTACGTGAGGGAGGGAAGAGCAAAAGCAAGCAGAGGTTGTTTGCTGGGTGATGTTAGATGATACAGATAGGGTTTTGCTCTCAGAACAGAATGGACTGGTTGTGGTTCCACTGCCAAAATCCTCCTGAGTTCTTAGGAGGGGCGCTGGTCCTACTATAAACATATGTTACAAATGAGGAATGGTACAGTAATGAGAAGGTTCTCATTACACGAGGATTACAAAATAAGAAGGTACTAGTCATAAATTTCCATGAACGGTGGCCTCATTCCTTGTAATTCATCCTGTTGTTCACTTAAGTGAAATAAATGCTAATCTCGCCATACTTGCCAGCTCATTCATATTCATATGCCATACTATAGCATTTAGACCTTTAAAACAATTCTCATCTTTACTGCTGTAAGTGCAAGGGAAAGGTGCTGTGGTAGCCTTAGATAGCAGAATAAAGTGTGTGGTCACATATGGTCAGATTGTGCCACCTTTTTGCTTCCTGTGCTAGTCCTGTGTTCGGGGTGATAGCAGCTGCTTTCAGGGAGATTCCATAGGAATCTTGAACGCTCTGCTTGAGGTGGCCATGCATAGAAAACACGGCTCTTAATCACAAGCAGGGATAGAAGAAGGGCTGGTTTTCTATATGGCATTTTGGAGCTGTTTCAGTACATAGACCCAGTCCACCTGGAGGAGATAACGTGCTGCAATCAGTAGTTAGGAATAACCTACAGTCACCAGCCCAGGTTGGACTTGAATCTGCTCCATCAGTTCTAGTTTTTTCACTATCAGTCTAGCTTTTGCCCCCATTGAAAGCTGTCATCAAAATATTTTGTGTGAGCTTCCTAAACTTAACATCTTTTGTGAATTTTTTCATTATCCAAATGCTGCAGTGTCCAGTCTTACTGTTCAGAGTGATATTTAACCCAGAACAAATGCAGAAATTGATGTCCCTGAGCAGTGTACTGACATTGTTAAGAAGTGAGTGTTGCTTCATAAAATACTGTAGCCTTCCACGTCTCCTGTGAAGAATCTGTCCTTAAATTGTTGCCATTTATCAGAATTCATTACTCAATGAAAAGATAACAGGTAGATGGTTGAAGTTTCTTTCTGATATTTGTGCAATCTGTGGCACTCTTTCAGTGGCCCCCTCAAGAGAAAAGCTCTTGTTTACCAGGTGAAATACAGCCTGTGTATCGAGTATTGCTTAATTTCACTTACCTTGTGAAAAGGCACAGAGAAGTTGTATGTGGAGTGAAGGCCCTGTATGCCAATAAAATGATTCTTCAGTTAAGGGAGAAAAAAGGACACGCAGGTTTAAAACATGGTTCATTTCTTTTCCTCCTGAGGAAGAAATATCATAACTGTTGGTAAATCAAAACCAGAGATTTGACACTCTTCTGTGATCGTTCTGTAGTGTTTGTTCCCAAGGTGAGGTACACCACAGGGCCCTTGATTTCAAAGATAAATACTGTACAAATAACGATCCTAGTTGTCTTTCACTCACAGCCAACAGGAGGATGCTTATCAGAACCAGCAGATACACGGGCTATTGTACACATTTATTTCCCTATTTCTTTTTGAAATAAGTTGCAGCTTTAGCATCGTTGTGTTGTGTTTCTTTTTTGAATCCATCAGCCATTGGTTACCATGTGATGCGGTTATCAGTCCGAGCTAAGTGATAGCAGCAGGGGCTGCTGCTCTGCCTAATGAAACAGCAGCACCCTGCATGCCCCAGAACACTGCCTGAGCCTAAAAACAAAACCAAGTCCAGTCTCAGGGCGGTGACCCTGTGGCCTCTGCCAGGCTGTGGGCAGCAAGGTGAGGGCTGGGGGTGCACACGTGTCTGGCCTGTTAACCAGGGCCGGGAAAGGAGCAATTAGCAGCGCAGAGCAACTTTCCTGCAAAATTGACTATATCCTTGATTTCATTTGCATGTGTTTAAAGACCGTGAAAGATAGGAATATATACCCCTTATGCAGCAAGTTGTTCAGGAAATCCCGGCTGGAGGGAGGGTGGTTTATTCAGCAGGGTAGCCAGGGCAAAAAATTCAGGAGACTGAATAGGGTTTTATTATTCCTCACCCCTCCCCTTTTTTTTTTCCCCTATAATTTGGTTGTGGGTTAGACGTGCTTAATCCTGGCTGTAGCATTTTTAAATCACATATATTCTTTAAAAGAAAGGACACAGACGTTTGGAGAGATGTGGCAGTCCCGTGTTGCAGTGATGCTGGTAATCTGCTTCATGTGCATTTAACTTCGATGAAACGAAGGGGAGTTTATGTGAAAGAAACTACTAAGTGCACCCTGTAATGTTTTCACAAGTGTTTTTATCATGGTAACATCTTGTTTACTTTAGTTGCCTGCCTAAAACTACTTGGAACATGTTAAGAAAACATTTCGAGAAAGCTTCTACAAAGAGGCTTTTGTTTAGCAGCAACTGTGAGACTGCTCGGCTCACAAAGGTGTTAACTTTCAACCCCTTAAGCACTTCCACATGAAATTCCAGCAACTATGTTTGTGGTTTTGGAAAAACAAAGTGTATATTAAAGAAACCAGGTATATGCTAATACATGTTGAAGTAGGCCGGAAATCATAAATTGTTTCAAAGGCATTAATTGCGCTGGTTTTGCATGGCAGAGCGTTCTGCACCGAAACCATCCGCACGGCAGCGGATGGATGTTAATCGCACAGGCAGCGAGGGCAGGGAGAGGCTGGGCTGTGGGGGGTGTTGCAGGTTTCTGTAGGGCCGGCGGGACCCCCCCGGGCTGGGGGAAGCCGCGGGGATGCGGCCCCGGTGCGGTGCGGGGGGACGCGGCCGCCGGGGCCGCTCCGGGGCCGCTCCGGGGCCGCTCCGCAGCCCCCGAACCTCCGCCGGGCAGGGCACGGAGCTCGGGACCCCCGCGGCGGCACTGGCCGGGGTGGCCCAAATCCCACAGTGCCCTCTAGTGCTCCCGGGAATGCTGCTGGGAGCGGCGCAGGCACCGGGAGCATCCCCGGGAGCATCCCCGGAGCATCCCCGGGAGCGGCGGCATCCCCGACGCGGCCCCGCTCCTGCCCCTCCCGGGCAGGCGAGCAGCCGGCCAGCTCCAAATAACCCCTTGGATTCCCATTTCATTGTTTTAAATTGATTTTTTTAAAAATACTTTTATTTTTTTATATTTATTCTATTATTTGAATTGTTATTTTTCTATTTTTATTCTTATTATGTATTTTATTATGTATCTATTAATAGCCATTAACAATTGTCATTAGGTCGTTATTTATTCTAATATTTTTATTTAATATTGTAATTTTATTTCTGTTTTATTTTCATACATGCTTTACGCACACACACACACATATATATGTATATTATGTATTTTATCATGTATGTATTAATAGCCATTAACAATTGTCATTAGGTCGTTATTTATTCTAATATTTTTATTTAATATTGTAATTTTATTTCTATTTTATTTTCATACATGCTTTACGCACACACACATATATATGTATATTATGTATTTTATCATGTATGTATTAATAGCCATTAACAATTGTCATTAGGTCATTATTTATTCTAATATTTTTATTTAATATTGTAATTTTATTTCTATTTTATTTTCATACATGCTTTACACACACACATATATATGAAATATTTCTGCTGATGGGATATATGTAGCGAGGTCCATCGCTTTGCATTATCCCCTTTTCCCTTCTCTTAAACGTGCACTTAGTTTATGTTTCCCATTATAATTTCCGGTGTGTAATCAGAAAGCATTCCTTAAAAGACAGGGATCATCTTTGTTTCATACTTTTATTGACACTGTCTACCATATTACTGCGATGTCTAAATGGTAAAATTTATTATTAGCAATAGTGTCACAAAAGTCTGAGACAGCGATTTTCCTTTCAATAAAAGTAGTTAAAAACCTTTTAGAAAATCCATA